AGAGAGAGAGAGAGAGCTCATAATTAATACTCTCTCACATTAATGCCTGAATACCTGTCCAGAGATCTGATCCAACGATCAATGTTTGCAAAAAAAAAACCTTCAAAACGCTATAAAATAATGTGATATAAGAATTGAATAAATGAAGTGAAGTATAATTAACCATAAATAAAAAGCTGTACTATAATCGTCTTTACTATACAATACACTATACGATGAATAGTGTCTTAATTATATAAATATTCATTTCAAATCTCATGACTTTTTTTACCGTAATCATTAAATTTATTTCTGGATACAGATTTACCACATTTTAATCTAACAAAGAATGTACACTGTACAGTGTATTAGTGAGAATAATTCTTACCTACTATATAATTGATAGTTAAGCTAGGTCGCATGATGTCACTACATTCACTAACTTAATAGTGCTATCGATTGGTATTATATGCTATATAAGTATATTTCCCATATAGGAATGGAGGTAACTGTACTGTACTCTACTGTACTGTACTATTCTGTGCACAAAATTCTACCAAAATTCTGTGCACTGTTTGGAGTAGACTAACCAAATGTGATACAATTATAATTTTTATTTTATTTAACACTAGTCATGCATTAAATGTTAACACAACCGGGTACAAAATATATCACAACATTAAAATTGTGTTAAAAACTAACAGGGAACATCTTAACATAATGTTTTTAATTTTAATCTGGCAGATTTTTACTATCGTAAATTGTACAATGAGTCAAATGTGGTCATCCTATTGAGTAAATCAAAAAGATTGAACACAAGAAAAACTAAACGTCAATAATATGTCAATTGTTAATAAAAAGACATAAAATACAGTCGCCTATCGATTGGATCAACTATTCGATGGCCATTCGCACGGATGGACACGATATGAAACACTGGCTATTCATTATCAGCTCATTGTTGTTATTAACACAGATTCGGTAATTATTACTACAAAACAATTAACATAATGTTTATTCTACAATATTTGCTGTGTTTAATCATAACATACACTTTAAACCTGTTTTAAATGTGCTTGAATTGAATGAATGCTCAGGACGTCAGGCAAAGGCGCCTCCAATTTCCGGGCCATTGAGAAGCGTATACTCGACTCCATTATCGGCGACGGACGCTATGACTCCCGTATCAGACCGTCCGGTGCCAACGCCAGCGCTGGTCAGGGTATGTATATATACAGTATAAATATATGAAAATATAGCATATTGCTATTACATATACCATAGTGTGCTATAGAATATTCTGTATTGATGTAAATATGCACAAAATACTCATATAATTTACATGAATATTAATGAAATATATGTTTTAAAATAGCATTTAAAATCTCATTGAATATTTATTAGACGGTCCGGCGCTCGTCTCCATTAACATATATGTTAGAAGTATATCCAGTATAGACGATGTGACCATGGTAAGTTATATGCATATTCAGTACAGCATGTTGTATGTGATTTAAATACATTTATTTGCTATAAAAATCAGTATTAATCGATTCTTAATGAGTATAACAACATATTATTAAAATAAACTACATTTTGCATTAAACTATAATTAATCCCAACATAATTATCATTAATACAAAGAATTAGTATTCATTGAGTGCCTTAACCCTCATTAAAAACAAAGATATTCTCGGTTTGAATGACAATTATAAATTGTGTTATTTTACAAATTCACTAACATGAATTAATTTTGTATATATATTTGCCTAGTACAAATTTTATTAACACAAAAAATGAGAGAGAGAGAGAGAGAGAGAGAGAGAGAGAGAGCTTTGCATATTAATTAAATAACAAGACAATTACCTCCATTGATTAGATATTTATATACCATTTCTCATAGCCTTCTAAATGTCTTATTTCTAATATATTAATTATTTCGTTAAATTTTGACAAATAATTTATGGTTTATTTAAGATTTAAAAACCATTTACACGAAAAAAACGTTGTTATTTATACGCTCTTTAAGTGATAAAAACATTTTTCATATACAATCACATGAGTTGTATTGACAGACACTGCAAAAAGGGTTGAAGGATATCATTTTGTACACCATATGAATACAGTATTTGTTTTACCTTATGTTCATTATATGGGAAAGTCTTTATACTATGTGAACTAAATTACACAAACATTTATACATAAAAATCAAATTAAATCCTAAATATAGTGGTCTATAATACGTGGAAATAGATATAAATTTATTGATGTTTTCATGTAATGTTAAAACAATATAATTTTACATTACATGTGCAGAATAGGGCCGGTATTTAATAATTATTTGCCTATAAAAGTCGAGTTTTCTTTTAGTAAATCTATTTAATTATAGCACAGCATAAAAATACAACTCAATTATTGTTTAAATAATAAATGAAATAAATAATTAAATAGCACTCAATATAGTGAACTGAATTGTGTGTTATATAATAGGATATTATAATTGACAGCAAAAAACAACTATCATATATAATGTGTACTTTATTTTTAATGAAATATAACATTCGCTATACATTTGTTATTTGTAGAAATAATTGAAATCTTAAGAAATACATTTGAAATAACAATAATAAAAACTAGTAATGAAATTCATGACAATATATAATGAGATTTTTAAAACAGATATAAAAAATACAACTAAAATACAAAACTTTGAACAAAATAGAAATAAAACATTTGCAATTAAACAACAAAACTAAACTAATTACTGATTGTTATCGATATAAAAATAAATACAAACTATAAATATAAACTCAAACTTTAATGATGGTCTGTTGGCGTTGCATAACATACTGAATGCCGTCCAACAGTCGGCGGCCGTATAGACCAAAACAGTGTATATATAGAGTACAGTCGCGATTGCGGACACATTCACCACTAATCTCAACGCCCGATTCGGTCAGAATATTCTCCGCCAACGACTGGCGAAACACATAAACGGTGTCCAGAATTTTGTGCACAGAATTACAGGCATTACTCCAACCGATTCCGTACCGCCAAAGAGTCACATAGTGTTCACAATTGCAGTACTGGTCGTCGAAACGGACGATCCGATTCTGGTAACGCGTCAACACCGGGGCCAACACATCCATGTGCGGCATCGAGTTCTCGGTCATGGCCAGCACCCGGTCGGCCAGCTTTTTCTGGTTGTGCAGCCGATACAGGGGCTGATCGGCGGGAAACACGTCCCGCAGAGCGTTGGCTAACGGCTCGTAACGGACCACTCCGTAGCCATCGGTGTCCGGCAGTC